CTTGGCCAAGGAAAGCGGTCCCGAGGTAAAATGGTGTGTCGGCTGACTCTTCTCGGTCTTGAATGGGCGTGATGTTGGAAGCATTCATGAGGACTTCAGAGGGTAGCGTGACTGTAAAGCCATCTTCTAGCACTATCGAGAACGTGCCGTTGAAAGCGTTCTTCAACTTCAGAGAATTATCGCCCCATGTGTTATCCTTTTCGGCGCCCAGTCGTTTGATGAAGTTTTGGGTAATCTGATACGGTAGGGAGAACGGAAACTGTTCAGTCGTAATCTGGGCCTCGAAGTCCTCTGCCCGTGTCTTCATGTCAGTGAAGACCGTGTTATCGAACAGTGATACGTTTGCGTTATCTTCAGAGTTAGTGATGACGATATCCTTGATGCGGAGGCTCATCGGATTCGGATTGTCGATGTTCATGGCGTATTTGTGTGTCTCTCCCGTGAAGCGACCTGAGTCGTATCCCCCAAAGACATTGCTACCGTTGACTGCGCCTCCCGCACGCTTGAATCCCTGTCCAATGTAGAGCGAGTATGTTTTTCCAGCAATGATGTCTTGTGCAGCCAGGTCCCGAAGGAGAGTGGAAGATAATCCCATACCCACTCGTCCAGGTGTGATTGACCCCGACTCGGCGACTTCGATCGTACTGTTCTCTACCAATGTTTGTGATGCACCGTCCGTCTCGAAGTAATGTGTGTATAGTCGTAAGGTCTCTCGACCGAAGAATCCCGTAAAACCCTCTTGTTCATCGTCCAAGGTTTGGAAGTTGTCGTCTTTCACAAAACTATTCTACATGTCAGCTAACAAGTCAATATATCAAATCGACAGTCAACCATACCTAGTGGAGTCGCGGTCGTTGTAGAAGCCCCCTGTACTCGTGGCACATTTGTCAAGAGTTGTGTTCTTGCAGTAGTTGCTCGACGCGAAAGAGATGTGGTTCTGTTGTAGTGATGGCCAAAGACTCTGGTTCTGTGCTGGCGTTCCTAGTCCGATGAAGGATCCATATTGAAATTCTGATGAGTCGTGTACGGCACGCTTGTGGATGTCGACGTATATTGGTTTCTTGGTGCAGTTTGAAGCAATTGCAGACTGAGTGAACAGCAAAGTTGCGGAAAGGCATAGAACGAAAGACGCCATGATGGAAGATGAGAGACGCTTGAGTCCAGCAAGCTGAAGAGCGGGTAACAAGGTGTTAGATAACGCTTACAACACCAACAGGCAGGGTGAACGACGACGATGACGAAACGTCTCAAACTCGAGTTGCGGAGGTGCCAAAGGCTGAAGGATGTCTTTGTAGGCCTCCATCATCTGTACCTTGATACACTAAGATGAGCATGCGGACAGTCAGCCAGTCAGGCAAGGGACCAGCTATTCTTGCATGCGGGAATATCCACACTGCTTCTGCTGGACGCGCATGAGTGCATCCCTGGGCGCCATCTAGAGCCGCATGGGACTGAACCGCTGCCGAGAGCGCCTGCTGATGCCGTTGTGGAAGTACCACGACCTGGGGAGGTGCCCCCATGGGCGCTTTGAATAGAAACATGCGCAAGGAAGAAAGATGATCCTCCTCCGATGGTAAGCTTTACCGTCGCAGAGACACTGATGATTGGATCGTTATTGTAGGCAGTTGCACCAAGATAGCGGGCGTTTACGAGACCAGGCTGATTGGGTAGGGTTGTCTCGCGACATTCCCAAGCGCCCGCTGCACGGACCCGAGTGCAGGTGTGGATCTGACACCAGTCGCTATTCTTAACCTCCCGCTCACTACAGTCTGCAATCTCAGAGGCAGGTAGATTGCGTACCCGCTCGGTGAGATTTTGATGCGTTTAGAGAGATACCCTCGGAAATAGCCGTACAATCTTAATCCCGCAACCCCGCACGCCGTTCTCGTTGTTGCTCACGGGCTAAAGTTTGTGTACAAAGTGGATGCGTGCCAGCATAAGGTATACTTGGAAGACTGCATTGATTCCGACTCGTTTTTAGAACCAGAAGGAACAGAAAGCCTGATTGCTCTGCAACACATGCTCGCGGGATAGCATAACTCTTTGACGGCTGCGTAGTGTGTGTCAGGGCTCCCTCGCTGGGGACGAAGGGGTGTAACAAAGCGCTTGCACTTCTACGCCATGTGGAATACGCAGTGACTTCACGCATTCGTCTCAATCGCTGCACTGCTTGGTACAAGACATATAGTACATAAGATCCACTGCAGCGTGAACACGTTCTTCATTGCATGAATTCTACGACTTCCTGTAGCTCCTGGAATAAGCTCAATTCCCCACCTCCTACACAGCGTGTGAACGTGGACTGACTTCGAAAGCTAAAATATCGCTTGATGATGACTTTGGAACACCTTGAACCCCAGCCTTAACCCCGTACTCCTTCACCCGCTATGCTGAAAGACTATCCCACATATTCCACAACTACTTGGCGTCGGATTTTACCGACATGTATGAAAAGTTGATGTACATTAAGAGCAAAAAGGGAAACATCTAGCTGAACGCAACGTTGAGCATTGAGACTTTTAGGAGTTGACAAGCACCCATCGCTTCTCTTTCTCGGTAGGTCCTACCCTTGCGGCAACTACGCTCAAGGTGTTGCTGATGGCGTCCTTAGGCAGCTTTGGGAATACCTTTTTCAGCGCCTCAATCATGCCAATCTTGGTCAGATCTTTGCCCTCAATTTCGGCCTTGAAAGCTTCAAGTTGCTCGGTGGGCACCAATCGCTTAGCTTTTGCAGGCTTAGTTGGAGTTCCTCCTGTTGACTTCTGTGGGCCGTTCAATGTGTTGAGCAGACCATTCATAGAGCGTTGGACCAGAGGTACCCGCGGAGGGTTCATGGCGCTCTTAGTGTCTTTCTTCGCAGCAGCGGCGGTACTTGCAATGGTCGCAGGATCCGGTTCCCAGTATGCCGTAGAAAACGGATCGATTGAAGTCATCTGCGGATCCAGCAAAAACCCCATTGAGAACCCCTTGAAGTCGGTGCATATAGCATCTGAACCATCGTTCAACCTGGAAACCCTATCGGCATCCTCCCAGCACAAGCCGGTGCTGACAGGAACTAAATCACCACTAATGAGTCGCCGTTTGAGTTGTGGGTCTTCTTCATCGTCGAGGAAACCGTCCAAGTCGTCTTCTGCATCTTCTTCGTTGTCGTCTTCGCCGTCAGAGTCAAGGTCTTCTCCTTCCTCGGGTTCATCCCATTCTGCTTCAGAGTCGTAGTCATAATCGGTGTCCTGTCGGACCCTGGCAATGGGGTTTCGTGCGAGCCGAGAAGCTTCCGCGTCGGTATAAGGCCTGGTATAGGTGCCATAATACGGGGGACGCACATCCTTGCAGAAGTGTATGTACTTCATTGGGATCTCTCTGAGCATCTCCAACGGGCTTCTGTGGACAGTCAAATCGATGGGACGGTCCGATGAGCCATTCACACGTTCGATAACTTCGGCGATGGTCGCAGTCCGATGCGCTGGTCGAATCCGTCGCGGGAAAGAAGATACTAGGGTCTCTCGTGTGATGGTCTCGGTACCGGTACTGTTGTGCGCGATAAGGTTCTCTAGCCGTGTTCGCGCAGCCTCCAGCCGCTCCGGATCGTCGAGCAGAGGATTTATGGGAGCGAGGATCGTATGTGGAGGGAGGTTAAACGGTAGAAAGTATCGCTCGTAGTCTGACTGAGCGTTCTTGACGATGTTCTTCTGTGGGGATGGAGGGGCCAAATTAGTTTTGACTCCGGATGTGCTAGGTAAAGATGTGGACGAGGCAGTAGGGTTCTGGGATGAAGCTACCACGGCCTGTCCTGGGCTTGATCCCGCCTTTGGCTTGACGAAAAAAGCGTTGAGCTTCATTTGGGACTATCCAAAGGTTAGCACTGTTCGAGTCGTACTACAAGGACGATGGTCGACTTACTCGTGCCTTCTTTGCCTTCTCCTCCTCTACCCGTTGCTGTTCCTCCTCCTTCAGACGCTTCTTCTCATCTCGTTCCTCGTTCTTCTTGCGCTTCTCCTCTTCTCTCTGTGCCTTTTGTTCTGCCTTGACCTTCTCCTCGGCCTCCTTCTGCGCCTTCTTCTCTTCTCGCACCTTGGCCTTGGCTTCCTTTTCTAGACGCTGGGCTTCCTTCTCTTGTGAAGTCAACTTGCGCCTTTTGGCTGGTTGTGAAGGGGTTGGAGCAGAGACATTGCTGCTGTTTGGGGCGGTTGAACTCGGAGCGCTGCTCTTTAGGGGTGACGGGGTTTGAACCGAGAGAATTGAGAGGGGTGTAGAGGCTTCTGATCGAATCTGTTTTGACGGAGTTGATACGGTAGGCTCGACATCGTCGTCGTCGGTGTGTGGACGCTTTTGGGGCAGCGGCGCAATGGGTGTGGGGTCCTCCATAGTTTACGGTGGTTGCTGAAAGTGCAGCCGGTAGACTTTGCAGGTCTATCACGAGTCGATAGTGAGGGGGCCGACGCTCAATTCTGAAGAGGTTGTTGTCAGTGGACAAGCAGCGTGGTTGCGGTAGCGGACGTTGATGCGGGAGGAGACGCGAAGGTCGAAGGCGCGACGCGCAGCGCGTGGAAACCGCGAACGACTAGTGGGCTGATGTGGGCCTAGTGCGGGAAAGTGCGACTGGGGTGCAATCGCTCGAATGGCGCGTACTTTAGCGATTTCATGCTCTGATTTCCTTTTAGCGTTACGGCGAAACGAACGCGAACATCAACACGTCGAGCACCACTATCTTACTCGTGCAAGACGTGAACCAAACAGTTTTAAAGCGATTCTTGGGGCTGTCGGCTTAGTGATGAACGCGCGAATAGAACTGCCTTTGCTGGTGTATCCTGCACGTGTCGTGCCTGCCGTCTCGCGGCACTCACGCCCCGACCACGCTTTCTATGGCTGGCTTCTTGTCTGCAGCGCCCTGTGCAGACCTCTTGCTGTATCGAACTCACAGTAGTCGGCCACATACCTGCTAGCAGCTAACCCAGCATCCGCGAGGTTCCATACCATCATCCGCCACTCTGCACTTCGCCATGGACACAAGCGATTTCGATGACATGTTGTTTGGTGAACATGAGATGCAGGCCGCTCCTAATGATACGGAAGAGGAGAACTCAGAAGATGAGTTCCTGTTTGCAACTTCCCAACGGGGAAATATACCGTGGGATGTATGTAACAGCTCATCCTCAACCTCAACCAATGGCACAGCGCTGTCTGTTCAGGAAGCACCTCGGTATCACCACCAGGAGCACACTCTAGGACCCATACGCGACAGGTTCTTCAGGCGCTCTCACTCTGATCGGGTTATGACTAACCTTATGCAGAGTTTGGGTGATCGCTCGTATCGAAGCGATGATAGAGTTGATTGTGGATGCTCAGCTAGAGGATCATGAAGCGCTCACTATCACGCTGAAGTCCCGTGCGGCTCTGTCTCGCAGACGATCTGCCACAGCCGACGGCCAAGAACAGACTCCCGAACCGAAGGAACGCGATATCAATTTTCCAGGAGCAAGTGCGCAAGAGGCATGGAACTTCAGTGTGTGAACCCGATCGTTTGTACATGTTGAGTACGTTAATGGTCGTGTAGCTGTACTAGTTCGTATACTCGAGCTTGTCCATGCCGGTCTCGTCGATGGTACCGTCATGACGAAGAGGTCAACTTTGCCTTTGTATGATGACAACAAAAAGCTGACTTGAGGTAGAGACATGTATTATCGACATCCAGACTTGTTCATCAAGCAGTCGATAGTCGACCGATACGTGGATGACTTGGCTTGTACCTTCGGCATCACTAGATTACAATTGAACGTGGTGCGCTTGTCTCGGTCGTCTCTCTGGAAACACAGCTGATAGCCGATTTCAGACTGCCGCCGCGAAAGGCCTGCTGGCGGGCGGCTTTAGGTTGACTCGAAACGATGGTCATCATATCAATGGCATGAGCGAGAAAGAGGTTTGACGAGCGTGCTGGCTCAGTGATACCTTCCTAACACATCAGCAGGGGATACTCGTTCCCAGTGTCAACGATAACGACAATCTCGACTTGACAGACGTGCAATGGGTTCTCATTATCGAAAAGGAGGTATGGTCGATGCTTTGGGATCACTCATGTTACCGCTAATGCATACCTAGGCGACCTTTAGGTCATTGATGAGTTCACCACGGTGGCACACCTTGGGCTCGAGCGGAATAATACTGACTGTAAGCCTGACTGTATCTGTTGCCAATGTCACCTAATAGCCAAGACAGGCGAAAGGATATCCAGACCTCGCTTCACGGAAATTTCTGAGTCAATTAGCTGCTAAGGCCCCTCAGATCCCCATGTATGCTCTGATGGACCTTGATCCTGACGGTGTAGCCATACTATCGACGTACAAATATGGGTCTTATCGTCTTGCGCACGAAGACGTTACATCCACGGATACAGCCACACCAGGCTTGCCTAACATCCGCTGGCTCGGTGTAAAGAGTCACCACATGAGCGGGACTCCGCTAGGCGAAGTGCACACAGAGACGAGTACGAAATCTCAACTTCAAGGCCTGATGAGACTGACGGCGCGCGACCGCAACAAAGCAGCGCGAATGTTGGAGTGGAACTTGTGCGCCGAGGAGGGTCCCGAGAAGGACTGGAGGCAGGAGCTACAGAAGATGCTTATGCTTAACGTCAAGGCTGAAATACAGATACTCGACGAAATGCCAGGTGGATTGGTGTCTTGGTTAAGCGACAGGCTCGGGCAGACAACAGAACTGGTGCGCGTGCAGCGGATGGAAGGCGAAAAGCCAGACGACGGGATGCTCTTTTGAGATCTGGAGTACCGCTGGGAGGCAGATGCGCTTCCATACGCAGGGTCCACATTTGTTACCATCTAGTCGTGCAAGACAGACAGAAATCGAGCGGCAGGGATATTTGGGTTTTCGTCGGAGAGATTTTAGGGTGTCAAGCCAGTGAGACGCCTCTTAGGGGCAACAAGAATATCGCAAGTCTTGCACGGCTACAATTGGGCGTCGGATCCCAAGTGGCATGCAACTCGTTCAATATGTCGGAATTTGCGTAGGGTGAAGCGGCAATGGCCCAATGATGGAAGGCGGGTGGGACAAAATAACCCGCCAAGCTTGGCGCCAGCGCATCTCCTCGATCACGGCAGCTCACCCAACAACTCAGACGGCGTCGCATAGCGGCAATGCATTGACCTGCAGCTACGGAACCAGAACCCACAACAATGGCCGGCATGTCTAATGATCCGCGCGTTCCCTTCCAGGCGCCACGGCTCCCGCACAGCGCTGCCCCTCCGACCGACTGTGAGCAACATGGCTCAGGTACCGCCGAGTCGAGTGCAATCCCACACCCACTGACGCCTGCAACGCCTGCAACGACCACCAGACAGTCGGTACCATTGGGCGTCTTCTCGACCCTCTTGGGGAACAACACCACGTCCACCCTTAGTGCCCAGCCTATACTGTCCGACGAGCCCGTCCTCGCCCACACGCAACCACTAGATGCCCCCGAGGGCCTGTCTGACTTGACGGCGAGCTCAGGCTCGGTGCCCAGTGCGACTACTACCCTGACCAACACACTGCCGCCGACCCAGTCTGCTGCACTGCGCGCCCTGAACGCCCCCGCCTTCCATTCCTCGCCCTCCAAGAGCAAGTCTGCAAAGTCTACATCCAGTCGGACCACCGTCACCAGCCAGCCCGTGGTGGTACGCACATACTCAGGCTCGCGACACGCATCCCGCTCTGGCTCCGGCTTCAACACGCCACGCTCCTTCGCCATGAATGGGCAGACACATGCGTCGGCCCTGTCAGCCGGTCTGGCAGGCAGGAGCGAGCAGCTACCCTCCGCTGACGACTTCTCTTTTTCGGCCATCCTTCGCGCGGTGGACCCTGAGATCAGAGACGCCATCGATGCCATTGCCGAGATCTGCGCCCGAAGCAGAATGAGTCTAGCCGACGAGTACGACTCTCACCTACCCCCACAAGGCGAAATAACAAGCGGGGGGTCGGGGTGGGCTGCAAGTACAGGAGTATTGGCCAACCGAGGTCGTTTGAATAGGATCAGTCAAGGATGGACTGCCGCAGACAACACACTCATGGCAGTGCCTGAAGCGAGCAGCTCCAGCGAGCGGCTGGCGCAAGAGGGTAGGGCCGAGAGCAGTAAGAAGCGTAGTCAATCAGCATACGGAAGCTTGAAGAGCGTCATCAGTGGTGGGAGTGGTAAGCGGAAAGCCATAGATGGCGATACTTTCCGAGACCAAGAGGCTGGCAGCTCGAAACAGGTCGAAGCCCAGAACTTGGGGCCCGCCTGGGCGGTCCACGCATCCACCTCGTCTTCACACCCGGCAATCACCATTGCCGCGCCTACAGCTTCGAAACAACTATCACTCGATACATCGTCGGCAATGCAGGATGTTGGCAAGGACGCCAATGGATCATCCAACGGACGGCCTCAGACTGCAACACCACGCAGAACCCCTTCACACCAACGCGGAGCGTCTATGCGCAGTCTTCCGGCATCACGAGCACGTTCTGGTACCCTTGACTCTATAAAGGCGTGGCTACCATGGCCCCGGCCGTCAGATCTCGACCAGAACAGTCGACAGGAGCTGACAAAAGCCGAAGACCGTCTCAGAAGCATGCTGATATCATCGTCCCAAACCCTCGGGAAAGGTAAAGCAACAGTGCGCGTCATTTGAGAGTCGGATCGGTTCGCATCTCCGAAGCGTTGAATACTCCCTTTGAAATTGTTTGTTACATATCGCAGATACCCAAGGAGAAGCTGAAAGTGTACGAAAAGCGGAGTGGGGGATGCTTGTGCTTTGCGTAGGACTCTTGCTCCGAAAGACGCCATGATGAATAACGTTTTATGATAATGACTAACGACAACAAGTAAATAGCACGATGCAATAGTAGAACAATGCAAGCCTACTTACAGCCTCTGATGGCCTATCGTGGCTACCTCGTTCGGATTGGACAATCTAAGAGCTTCAACCCAACTAGCCTCTTCAAGTAACAAGTGTGCATTAAAACGTGGGGTAGCTGCTTAGCTCACTTCCATCTCCGCTCTCGTTGACGGTATCAAGCATCATGAAGTAGACATCAAGACCGCGACCTTGTTCAAACTTGAGACCGGAACAACACAATGACACCCAAAACAAGAGAGACGCGAGTCGACAGCTTCATTGACCCAGCACTCCTCCCATCACTACACAAGCCACTCACTCTCCCCGACCTATGCGATGACGTCTTACTACTCATATGCGACTTCCTGGACCACCATCACCAGCAACACGGCGAGACTCCATGGAAACAACTCTCCCTAGCAAATCGCCGTCTCCACGCCCTCCTCGTTCCACGACTATTCAAAACCCTTCGCATCACCGCGCCGCTCAAAGCCCTAGACACAGACGTCTTAACACCACACTTGCACCAAGCTCGCGCGCTCAAAATCGACATGTTTGGCAGTCTATGGTGGTGGTGTTCCGGCGCCTACGTATCCAGCAGCGACGCCCTCGATCTGTTTACCTTTATGCATTCGTTACCGCGGCTAACGCGATTGGAGGTGAGGATGATGAGCCGGAGTCTGGATGTCTTCTCCGCTGCGTTCACCGACTCTTCACTTCCATCCCGGTTCCCTGGGTTTGAGTTGAGAGGCGTGGAGACGTTGGTTGTGAATAGCAGTGCCGCGTTTCTAGTACAGCATTGTCCCAATCTGCAGACGTTGGTGGTGAAGGGGAAGGGCGATGGTGAGGATTGTGCAATGGACAAGTATACCGAGCTGAAGGATTTGTTCGAGATGATTCCGCGGTCCAGCTTGAGAAAGGAAGAGGACGACCCATATTGCCAGTATGCAGTGGGACTACGAAGTTTTGATGGAAGTGCGGCATGGTCTATGGCCGAAATTACCTTTCTCACGACGACGTTTCCGAATATTCGTCACCTTGTCTTGCGCAGCGAGTCGTACTGCTATCGATCCGATGTCGCGTCCATTATGCGCACTCTGGGCCAAGGCTTGAAACGACTCAAGAAGCTGCAAGTCAGCAAGATCGAATATCTTGATATGGGGTATCGGGCGGTGTGGAAACGAGCAGTCATGGAATGTAAGACGGAAGAAGCAAGACAGGCGTTGTGGAAAGGAAACGAGGGAAGGAGAGTTGCAGCTGAAAACAACGTTGCGAGGTTAGCATTTGGTGAGGTGGAAGCACTGGAGGAGTTATGGGTGGGTGAAAAGAGGGTTGCGAGACGACATGGTGGGAACGGGGTGTCTTGGATATGGGAGCGTAAACCGGATGACATGGTAGATGCCGCGCTGATAGGGATGAAGTGGGCGGAATATCGTAAAGAAAGGGAGGCCGTAGTTGTGTCAAGGGAGATCGGGACGTAACGGAGGAGGTGAGAAGTTGGGTGACTGCAGGTAAATTTGCATCTATAGCAATTCGTTCAGTCAAGAACAGATAATGAAACCCATGAAGATAGCGTCTAATGAATAACGTACATCATACCGAAGGGGGAGCACAGGTTGCCCGATGAATGCTAACTAGAGCCCACATACCCAAGAATAAGCCATGCTGTGAGTCCTCAGATGGGCCTCTGACGCCAAAGTTGATGCAACAGAACACAAAACAAGCCATCGTACAGGACATCACACGCAAACCACACGTGAACCCTTACATGCAAACTACACCAGGTGAGCGGCCCATTCTACCTTGCATAACCGTTACTGCTACTTGATGGCATTGGTGACGCGGAAGCTGGTTTCCAGATCCTGATTCGTTTGTCATCGCCAGCAGAAGCGAATGTAGTGGGATCCTTGGGGTGCCAGGCTACGCTATTGGCGCAGCCGTTGGAGTGTGCGTCGAGAGCTTCGATAAGGAGGCCATTGGAGCGCCATATGTATATTCGTGAATCTGAAAGCGTGTGTTAGCAAATGATCCTGCATGAAAAGACAAGACAAACATACCCTCGCTGCCGCTGACTACAAAGTTCTCATCGGCGCCGCCAAACGCTGATCGAATCATGAACTGCTTTTGAGCATGTGCCTCGAAGCGTTGTATTACATCCCCAGTGTCGATTTCCATGAGCTTGATCTGATCCGGGCTTATGCTAACGAGCATATGCCGTGAATCCTGGCTGATCGTAACACTCGTCAACTTTGTACCATCAAGCTGAAACTCGGCAATCCTCTCATAAGTGGCATAATCGAACACGACAATCGCGCTCTCTGTAATGACAACTAATCGCTGGCCATCGGATGACAATGCGAGACCGTTTACACGGAGTTTCCCATCATCGGCGAAGTTGTGCTTGAGGTTCCCGTCGAGGTCCCAAACACTACAGCCCATGTTGTCGTCCTGTGATCCAAGAATAATCCGTGTACCGGATGGATCCCAAGCCGCCGTGGTACATGGGTAGGTGAAGTCGTTGATACATTGTATGCATACCCCGGTCTGCTAGTTTTAGTCGGAGCTATCAGAGCAATCTTGCTGCCTTACCTTGACATCCCATATCCGTGCCGAATTTTCTGGTTGCGAGCAACATGTTATTATCTTTGTGTCATCAGGGCTCCAAGCAAGATGGGCGACGCCAGATTTCCTGTGTTCTGCGAGTCGATGTAACACCTTGTATGTGTTGGTTTCGTAGATGATGATTGTCTGGTCCTCGCCTGCAGATGCAAGTTTTGTGCCGTCGTTTGAGTACTGCAAGTACCAAACCTCACCCGTGTGGTGTTTCAAATCAAGAACAGCCTTTGTTGGGAAGTCATCCCTCTCGCAGTTGTGGTCGAGATAGAGAGACGGTGACGCGGCGGTGTTGTGGTATAGGCAATTTGCGATCCAGCTATCTTTTACTTCATCTAGCAGTACTGCTAACCTGTGTTCCGGGATCATAATGCTCGGCGAAATTGATTCTACAGGATGTCAGTATGAATCGCCATAGTCTGGGACTTGGTGCTTACTGGAAAGATCAGAAAGCAGATGCATCCGTGAGTCACCGCGAGCGCCGTCCCATTGAGCTTGATTTCTGAGGTCTTCGGCAGATTGGCACATCATAAGCCTACGAAGCGTTAGCTGGATAACGTCTGATGGCAGGATGATACTTACGCCGAAAGCGCGTGTAACCTTCCCACATCGCGATGAAGCGGCGTCAACTCTTGCCGAAGTACCGCAAGTGCCTTGCTCAGATCTCTCCGTTCAAGCAACTCGAGGTACTTTTGCTGCTTCAGACAGAATAGCATCACCTCGCGGTTTGCGCCCTCGGCTAGAGTCAAGCCTGTAGAACGCTGCGAGCTGGGCTGAGATGTCGACTTTCCCCAGGGCCTTCCGTAGGGAGCGTCTAGACCAACACCACCACCGGTGTGGTGTGTATTTGACCCAAACAGCAGCTCTTCGGCTTCCTCCCAATCACCGTTCAGTACCGAAGTTCGGAATGCCGCAACTGTGGGCCCTTCGAGCTGGAAGCCGCTCTCCTTGCATAGTGCGCCCGCAGCACTGTGGTAGCCCAAGTCGGTCAGACTCTGTACCAGTATCCGCGTCACTTCTTCCCTGTCATGGCCAAAGAAAGTTGCAGGCACTGATCCCCCGTTCGCTACCGGACCTCCATTCGTATAGGAGCCATTGCTCTCGTTCCTCCCGTGTGTGCTTCCATTCGCGCCCTTGGCCAGGGGCGACCTGTGCCCCGACGACTGTGACGATCCGTTTGCGAAGTTGCGCGAGGGCGATTGTGAGGATTTGGAGGTGTCGTTATCAAGGCGCATCTTCCCTTCCTGTCTGCGCCTGCGCTTCGAGATGTGGCGGGATAAGCTGCCCCGGGTGCCGCTGGTGAGGGGCTCGTCTTCGGCGTCGTCGCTCGCAGAGAAGCTGTGCCTGCGCTTTCCGGCTGTAGTCTGGTCGGATGACAGGATAGCGGCAGCGGGTGCGTGGTTGGAGGCTCGGGCGGCGGGTGCGGGCTGGTTGGAGGGGGCAGAGATGACTGGGGAAGAAGAAGCGGGGGACGTCGGGGTGGATGGGTGGTCGGAGGCGGCTGGGGAGGGAGGGTTTGGGGCGATTTCGTCTGCCAGGACGAACGCTGGGTCTGGTTACCCGCAGATGACGCGGGTATGGGTTGGTGGCAGCGCCGTGCCTGAAGGGGTGCTAGCTTGGGGATTAGGGAGAGAGCATAGGCAGCTCCGAGGCGAGGCGCTGTGCTGGAGTGCGCGTGGAGTCGGCGTAGTAGACGGTGGAGAGGTGGGCAAGCTTGCGGAGGTGCGCTCGGAGGTTTGGAGCAGCTGGCGATGTCACGAGCCGAGCAATGACGATGCCGTCGTCGGGGCCGGGCACCTTTGATGCTATCACAAACGCTCGAGCTGCGCCAAACAGGGGAAGTCCGATAGTCGTCGTGTGCACGCTGTGGGAGCTTCTAGTGGTCGTCTTGGTGGTTGTTGGCAGTTTGAGGTCCGTAGCTGGGGACCTAGGTGCAACCGGATGCGTTAAGCTCATGTGCCAAGTGGCAGCCACGATGTGCGAGAGATGGCCCAAAGCAGCGCAAGTATTACACCACAGGAAGCATTCAAGGGAGAAACGTCCACTCTCTGAGTCATTCAGTCAGTTCAAACGGCATCGTCACAACATGTTGCGTGGAATGGTCCCAGGCAGGCATGCGCACCAAGATGCTCGGGTGGATCCGCATTGTCACAAGGGACCTAATCGCGCGATAAGAAAGGGAGCTAACGCCCGCACCATGGCCGGCACGACTCACAAGGACACCCAAGTGCTCGTCTTTGCTGCATTCGCGTCGACTGTGGCCGTAGACGCGTCATGCCTCGCTCCAGGCTGCCTTCCGGCCATTACAGACAAGGGCTACACGTCATGTGGAACAGGGTACGCGATGTCATGCGGATCCATCAACCAACATCACACGTTCTTCAAAAACCACAGATTGTTCAAATATGACATGATTTACATGATCATAATTCTGATTCCAACTTCACAGTAGCACTGTTACTACCCCATTCCTCTTCTACACCCTCATCGTCGCGTTCCCGCCCGCTTCATGCTCCTTGAACCAGTTGAGGAACTGGAACAAACTCGCCTTGGGTGTCCTCTCAAGACTCGTGTAGTTCACGTACTGCACTCCGAACCGGACCGATGTACCAAGCGCCCACTCGAAGTTGTCTAGAATGGACCACCCCCATGCTCCAGTCACATTGACGCCGTCCACATGAATCGCCAGCAAAATGTTGTCTAGATATTGCTGGAAGTAGTCCGCTCTCTTCAAACTAAATGTAGGTGTACGAAGTCAGCGTAGGTCTCACATGCAGTTCGCACAGAAACACTTACTCCCAAAGCGCAGAATTCAGGTTTTCCTGAAGAGGTAAAGGTATGAAGTCAGTATATGTCTCACATGCACTTCGTACAGTCAGAACTTACCCATTGCCCTTCGAAAGGCTCTGCAAACCCGAATTCGCTCACAACAATGTCCGGGATCGATGGGAAGAGGACCTGAGTAATGTGCTTGAGGTAGCGGCGCACGCCGGCAGGTGCAGAGTAGAACCACGACATGGCCGGGTCGGCGGCAGGACCGATAGGGAAGCCATTAGGAGCCACACTTGCTGAACCAGCACAGTCAGGGAAAGAGGGATGTGACCGGTTGCTCGTGCACGACTCCAGCCCGCCATCAACCTCAAAAGCTAAGAAGCTGGAGTAGGGATCGATGGCGTAGAAGTCGCACGATCCTTTGATCATGTCCTTTTCCTCTTGTGTGAACTCGGGCAAGAGGTCGCCAAGTGTGTCTTTGAGCGATTGCGGGTAGTCACCGTCAGTCCATGGTCCACCGAACCAGCCGATGCTAAAGTCAAAGTTCCGCTGGCGTGCAACTTCGTCTTCTGGTTTTGTGCTGTTGGCCTCGTAGTAGTTACCGCTGTTCTTGAAGGTCATGCGGCCGCGTCCTTTGAATTCTTCATGGTACCATTTGGACACCTTTGCGTGCGCTAGCAGTGTATGGTGGCCACAAAGAAAGCGGGCTTCATTGCCGCCTGTGACGCCTGAGCCGTGGTATACAAAGTCAGTGTATGTCTCATATGTAGTTCGTATGAAGAGACTTACCATTTGGCGCTGGGTAGTATTCACCTGCCGGATACCCGGCGTATTGCCAATTGCAGTATTGGGGCTCATTGATCGTAAACCACTCGTCAACGTAGGCATCATACCGTGTAATGACGAACTTGGCGTAGTTGAAGAAGTCATCCACGACGCGGCGGTCAGTCCAGGCACCGTACTCGTTGAATATGGCGAGAGGAGTGTCCCAGTGGAAGAGCGTTACCGCTGGATGAATGCCATTCTCGTGCATGGTTCTGATCACGTCGTCGTAGTGCGCAATGGCCTCTTCATTAACCGGACCATGTCCAAAGGGGAAGAAGCGCGGCCATGAAAAGCTAGGGCTGAAGGCTTTGACTCCTAGACTTGCTAGTCTGGCGAAATCCTGCTTATAAAGATAGTAATGCTGATCCACGATATCGCCAGTCGTATTGTCGGCCACGTAATTAGGAACTGCAGAATACAGGTACGAAGTCAGCTTATCATGATGTCTCACATGCACATCGTGTAGACAGAACTTACCCCGGTGTGCCAACAAATCCCAAATACTGGGTCCTCTGCCTTCATCCTTAACCGCGCCTTCGATCTGATACGCGGAAGAACTAAAGCCCCATTGGAAGTTCTCGGGGAGCTTCAAGCCCTGTACTTCGGGATATCCGCTTCCTACAAGAGCGTGATAGTATTGAGGATCTGGCTGCGGATATGCGGTTGGCTCTGCTGTTGGTTCAACGGTAGTCGTGATGGGTCCTGTAGCGATAGGCCCCACCATGTCCCAGAGCGAGGCGAGTGCATTGGGTCCGAAATCAGTGCGGGTATAGGCTGTGGGCTGTGCGGAGGCGTTGAAGCTTGAGGTACTGTAGCCTGAAGGCAAGACATAAGAGATAGTAGCTGTCCCGTTGCTCTGGGCAGTGGCAGGAGCGGCGAAGACAAGAAGGCTCAAGACCGACAGTAATTGATCCATCTTGAAGAGTCAAGGTGGAATAGCACGAGATGTTGCGCCACTATGAACGGATCCAGAGACTATTTAAATAAGTACCTATGTACCTCTACTAGATCTATCCGCATCATACCGGGTGGTTTCATTGTGCTCCCCGCTGACGGAAACCTTTGATCGATGGAGATTACCCGGAAATTTTGAGCTCGGCGTGCATGGTACCCCTCAAGAAAGTGCTCAAAATCATCTTTGTGCACCCGATATAGTGGATTACAAAAGGCTACAAAGGCAATCGTTGGTCAATCCCAAGGAGCTAATGTAAGCTCCAAGCTTCGTTGCGGTATCGAATGCTCGAGCGTGAGGATTTGCACCAAGACTGCAAACGTCATCAACGGACAGGCCAGCGGAACTGGCGGAGTGAATTTCCGTGCCGAATGAGGAATAGATCGAAGCTGCTGCTGATTGATTGGTGGAGGCAAAGCTTCTCGAAGCCATGCACGGAGCTATTGCGGGGAAGCAACAACCATCTTGACTGATTGTTGAGCTTCCAAAAGACGTCGTACGAAGCTGTGTACCCAGATGGTAAGGTGAGCGGCAGAACAGAAGGCATGAACGGTCCGCCGACCGGAGCTTGGTAAGATCGGTAGAAGGAAACACGGGACGAAAGGACGCAATTTGACAATGGAGCGGTGCTGCGGGTGGAGGACACAAAGATTCTGGATACCACAGAAGGGCATTGTGTCGTTTTGCCCAGGCGCACCTTTAGTATGCAATTGTCGGGCTTGACCGAGGAGGTTTATTCAGTTCATCGCTACGTAAAAGAGACCTAGCAGAACGTCACTAGGTTCTCCGGGTATATGGTCTTCGCCGTATTATATGACGAAGGTGGGAAGTCGTCCCGAGGAGCTCATGGTGACTCGTTTTATTTAAGCCTTGCGCTGCTTCTTCGAGGGCGGCTCTTGCTCTGACTTGCGACCCTTGCCCACCAATGCACGAATGTCGACTGGTTCTTGTTCGTCGTCGTCGTCATCATCGTCACTAGCATCCATGACATCCAAATCGGACAGTTCCTCGTCGTCTTCGTCTTCGTCGAATGTGCTCTCTGTGATCCGTTAGCGACAGGATGAAGAGTAGTTAAGCGCATGCCACGTACTGTAGTACTTAATAGCGTTGGGCCACATGTCTTCGGCGAGGATGGTAGCAACCTCATCGCCGCCTGGGAAGACCTCGATCTCCTGGTAGTCTTGCGGGTCTTCTTCGTCCTCAGCCTCATCCTCGTCATCGACCTTCTCCCCTCGCCTGATCTTCTCGAACCTCTCCTTCTCCTCCTTGGCAGCCTGTGCTGACTCCTGTGCGCTGACCCAGCGATAGCCGGAGACGAAAGAGAAGAGACCGAAGAAGCTAACAGAGGCGTCTGTAGCTGTTTCGATCTTCTTGGCCAGGTTCTTATATTCCTTAGTCTTGGCCTCCTCTTTCCTCGCAACGCCGTTGGCAGTGTCGGTTGCCAACTTCTTCCTCATCTCGCCCAGCTTGTATGCCGCATCCGTGAGACCACCGGTAAGGTCCTTGTCCTTCTTCCAGTTGATTTTGACAGGCTCCGAAACTAGACCTTGCCAGTCCTTGGTCTTCCTGAACCAGAACTTCTTCTCGAGCACCTTGTCTTCGAAGTATTCGTTGTCGGTGAAGCCGAACTTGAGCGAGAAGCTGCGCGGGGAGCCATTGGGGTCGTTGAGCTCGATCCGCGACACCTCAAAAGTATCGAGACACTCGGCGAAAACCTTGGAGTCGGTGGGCTGGATGAAGTTGTCGATCTCGGGCGGCGCCTGCTCGAAGACGAGCGACCAGAAGTGCGGGATCTTTGTTACGAAGTCGGCGCGCTTCTTGTAGAGAGGGCCCTGCAGAGCTTCGGCTTGGCGGACTGCGATGGGGTTAGCAATGCGACTCCCTTTCTCGAGACGCGACGTGATAGAAATGGAATCGCAACTTACTGATTTCCTCTTCCACGTCTTCGAATTCGTGCTCAAGAGCCGCAAGCTCCTCGAAGCGAGCGACGTCTACTTCATTCATTTGGTGATCCATGGGTTTCGAGCAGCTGCCGCCGGGTGAGCAACAATCAGACACTTCAGACATTAAATCTTGGTGGAATGACGAAAGACTTCAGCCGTGAGCATTGTTTATAAAATTTCCGAACTGCTGCAGGGATGTTTGCGCAACGGGGCCCACTTAAAAAGGCGGAGGTGCTCGGCCCCACGCACCCGTGCACACGTTCATCCCGGCTTCTGCACCCTTTTGGCAGCAGAACGCATCTATCTATCCTGCTTCGTCGACACGATAGACCGACGCGAAGTTCTATGGCGCGGAAAATCAATCTACATCGTGATTATTTTAACGCGGCAGGCACGTCAGCAGAAGGCCCTTAGGGTGGCTGGGAGTCACAGAGATGACTTGCTTTCATTCACTCCGCCACAGCTTCGCTCGTGGCAGTGCGCTCTGGTACATTCACGATAGGCAACACCCGATACCCCACAGTGCCATATAAGCTCGCTACTGCCTCTGTTCGACGATTGTAGTCATAGCAATCAGGGTCCAACGAGAACAACACGCAATCCGCTTCTACCAGGCCCGACAACGATCTGCGCAATACTCGCTACTTAGGTACCTAGGTAGCCATGGGAGGTCTCGCGTTCGCGAATGTTCCAACAGACTCCGGCAGACCCATCAAGGTCCCTCGCCTGCGACCAGCACTGTACAAGACGCTCTCCGCGCAGTATCAAGGCCTTCTGGAAACACTATTCGTACGCGTTGTCGTCCCGCGTGACGCTCCAGCCAAGACAGACCATGGGGACATCGACTTCTTGGTAGAAGGCATTCGGCCACCCAACACCAAAGAGGGGATATGGGCAGCAATACAGAAGACTCTCGACGCCGATATCCATCTCCCACGCGGCGGGTCCTCTTCCTACGCGGTGCGACATCCCGAAATACCAGATGCACACGTGCAAGTCGACGTCGAACTTTCAGTTGGAGATGAAACCCCGGAAAGCGCTGAGCTCTTCGAATGGACGCGCTTCATGAAAGGCGACGCTGACCTCGTGCAAATCATTGGCGTCTCTCATCGTCCGCTGGGTCTCACCTGCAATGACCAGGGCCTGCATGTACGAGTCGAAGAGATTGAGCCATACAACAAGAAGAAAGCACTGCTATTTCTCACAAGAGATCCAAATCTCGCGATCGCTTTCTACGGCATGGATGTCGCAAAATACTGGTCAGGGTTCAAGGATGAAGACGATCTCTTTGACTGGGCTTCCAGCGGGAGGTTCTTTTCGCACAAAATCTTCCAAGGGCGTGTCGAGAAGCACAACGATCGAGCCCGGCAAGCAAAGCGGCCCATGTACCAGCGTTTTGTAGAGGACTACATGCCAGCGCATCCCGACAGAGGTGATGCAAACACGTGGACTAAGCAGCAAGTACTGGAAGAGGCTCTTGCAGTTTTCAAGAAGCAGGATGAGTACGACACTATGATGAGGGATCATCACCTCAAGACGGCGGAAGAAGAGCTCTGGAAGGAGATCAAAGTCACAGTCCCAATACAGAGCAACTCTCTCGCTCTCGTTCTGAAGGGCTTGAGGCGTTGGGTCGTGTTCCGGGATAACGAGCCGCGCATTTCGTCTGAGCCCAACCTTGGTGAGCCTACAATCTGGTCCAAATTTGTATCGGCGGATAACAAAGACGCTGTGCTCAAGTGGGTGAAAAACAACTGGGAACAAGTCAAGGCTTTAGAGAAGGCGCGTGCGAATGCTGCCAAGGAAGCCGCGAAGGGCGCATCGTGAGGTCTGGGCCAGGCTGATGAAAGTCAAAGTAGTGCAAGGCGCAGACATGACAGAGACTTATGCGGTAGTGGTACTGTAGATACTGTTTCCAATCGCGTTCACACGTGGTACTGTACGCATCTAAATTTTGCGGTTTTCGTGACGTAACGCGTGGATCTCTTAAGCCGATGGTTCCCATGCAGCTGCGGGCCTTCTTAACGCGAGCATGATCAGACCTGGCTTTGCGATGCAAATTTTCAGTTTCGTAGGGGTAATAGAATCGAGTTTCGAAGGGGTAATACGGACGGTTTTGTAGGGGTAATCAGAATACCTAAAGGTGGGTCGCATGGTCGAACCTGCTACTTCGGCCCGATGGGAAAGGGCAACTTGATCACGACGATTTGCAACATTTCTCCGATGGTCAGTAGGTATCGCTGCGAGTGAATTGCGCTACGCTACTCGCTATCTTGCCAAGATTGTGTCCCAAGGTGGCTCTTATCTTTTTTGCTTTGTGCGGTACCGGATCGTGACGAACCTTCAAAGGCACTACCTTGTCAGACGGATCTCGATCGACAGAACCCAGCTACCACTCACAGCATTGCTTGTTTCGCACCGAATAGCTTGCTCGCATCCACAAGTCTCCGCCTGACAAAGATAAGCCCTACGACAACTTCGATCCTCTAGCGCGTGGACGAGATGGACGACCAGTATCCCGAGCTGCAACTGCCAGAGTCACGGGTCTTGATCGTCATAACGGGTATATATTCATGGAGTGGACATTATGTGTTCGTCTGTACTAACCTCACTAGGCGGCACGATATGCATGCGCAAATCTCCAGACGGACTGGTACCTGCGCGGGGTTTCCTCAAAGCTGGACTTGCACCCAGACCAGTCTTCAATGATGGATCGTACCCCGAGCCTTTGGAGATTGTTACCGACGATAAGGGCACACGCAAAGCCGTTCAAAGTCTTAGAACTCCAGTCAGCACCTATGATCGCCGCGTGCGATACTGCGTGCTCGAATTTGAAAAGTTGCTCGATAGTAGCTCTATTGACTCCACTGGTTGGGATCAAATTGCCCGGACGGTGCAGCGAAACTACCAACTCTTCGATGGTTTCGTTATCTTGCATGGCACAGACTCTCTGGCGTACACGTCGTCGGCGTTGAGTTTCATGTTCCATAATCTGGGGAAGCCGGTGATATTGACGGGATCTCA